GCAATCGTGGATACATTTTCAAATTGTTTTTTTAAAAAAGGTAGGCTACATGGTATCAAGTGTGATCGAACTGCCATATTTTTTGGAATGTACTACACTAAGGTCACATGTCAAATCTTTAATTTCAAAGGGACCTAAAGTATGCTCATTTGCAGGTTCGTACTTGTAATGAAGGTTTCTACTAGAACATGTTTAAATGCTTTATTTTCCTTATACTGTCTGTGCTGGAACACCTGTATTCACCCTTTGTCTGAAACACTATGTTTTAGCACCTGTCTCTTTCAGCCTCCCTTCCAAAGAATCCCAGTCTAGTCTTCCATAACTCGGCATCTCTGCACTATCACTGCAGCTGAGGAATGACTATGACGGGGAATAGCAGCACTTTTTACCATGAAAAAATCACCATTAAAAGCTTTTGAACACAACTGGACATGTTCCAGAGAATATGATCTAAAATCGGGCAGAAATTTACAACATCGGCAACCACGTTTCCATGTTTCCCTAAAGTTAGCATGTAGCTTCATTTAGCAGTTAAGGCTGCTTGATGTAAACACTCGCAGTAACCTGGAGCAGATCTAAAGAATCTGGCACACTATAACTCACTCATTCTGTAGCCAGAGAAGAAAAACTGATGGAAAGAGAGTAGTCAGGGCGGTCTGAAACCTGAGGTTTTTGCACACAGGGACTACTGCTACATACATTATCAGAAACTTTGGCCACACTTCATGTGAACATCCTTCATTGTTATCGCCAATTCTGCTTTAATTATGATGATAATCAAAATCGAAAGCTCATTTCTACTGATTTTAACTTTACAATCAAAATCATGACACCCCTATTAATAATGCTCCCTTCTTTCATCACTTTGCATTAGTAAATACCTCAATATTTCACTTGGATTTCATATCTAAGTGCATCTTAAACCTGTGTTTTTTACTGCAAGAGGACAAAAATGAGTGTATTATAGATACACATACATTAGCGTCATCAAGTAATGGCAAAAAGGCAATGCATAGAAATGCTCTTAATGACACATATGATGAGCAAAGCATAAGCCTCTACAGTATATATTCCATTGGTCTGTGAGGCAGTGACTGAGTTTCTACCAATACTGTTCAAGAATACGGAGAGATCATCCAGATTTGATCCTCTCAGTGAGACAGCATAGCTTAGCTGACCAGGGCAGAGGGCAGGAGAGACCATCCACATGCTCCTCTCTCTCCTCTGACCCTCTTTAAGCCAAACATCTGGCACCGCAGTAACGCAGAAAGCCAATATTTCCCAGTGCATTCAAAGCTCTTCTCTTCCTGCTTTGTGCTATTGAAACACAAGTCAGGGGAGAAAAAAAAAAAGCTCCATTCTTGTGCTTTCTTCACATCAAAGGGTGTCAGGCAGTTATTAAAATAAACTGACTGTGTATCATTTCAATCCCATGCAGGTGATGATGGTAGAAGGTTGAAAGCATTTCGCTTTGCTGCTTTGGAGTTGCTGAATTGAGACAAAATGGAAGGCAACAGAAAACAAGAGGCTTGTTACACAGAGACTTTGGTCACAGCTTGAGAAACCGCTTTGATATGGACCACAGACAAGGTCATCTGTTGATCAGGCGTACGGTCTGTGATGCAACACACACACAGAAGATGTTTTGAGCAAAGTTAAACACACATGTTTAGTAATCCCAGTTATGTTGGAATATGAAGAACACCACCTACATTACTTATATTATCTATAATTTATAAATTTGGACTCATTTATGTCAGGCAGTTCTACACAACCACTAAAATTGGGGACACACTGCAACTGTACATCCATACAAGGCAGAGGGGCAGAGCAGGGTTAAGTTCTATACAGACAGTTTGAAATGCCAAGGTTGACACAATTTCATGCACATTGGATGAGACAAGACCCCCTGACTGAGTTAAAATCACAGGGAGCAAGGCAAAAAATTTAGATAGTCTTCTTACCCAAAGACTTACCTACCTTAATATGAAATGTGCAAACAGTAGCAGCTTATCAGACACATTTAAGGCTCATTCTGCGCTGGCTCGATAGCCCTTTCAGACAGTAGCATTGCTAAATTCTTCAATCTGATTAGCTATTGTCTTTTGACTTTCCCCACAGTTCTGTTATGGTAGAGCTCCATGTTCAAATATAACAAAACTTTAACGTATTGAAAATCAACACTTGCGCCACAGGCACAAAAAACAAGCAGATTTTGAAGTCCTATTTGTCCTCACAGCGGGACAGACGCTGGGGAACAGCGACGAGTTGAAAAGGAAGTAATGACATCAAGGAAGACGAACATTCTCTGTTTTCTATAAGTTTCCTGAGAGATTAAAGGAATACTTCAACCCCCAAATGACCATTTACATATCAACAACTCAAACTGTGTTGTGTTGAATACAGGAAGAAAACGCTCTTTTTCTCACATGCCTCCACAGTAGACGAAGAATCCTAAATACTGAGAAAATACTTGATGAATTGGAGTCATAGGGGATCGCATTTTACAAGAGAAAAACTATATTATATCACAGTCCCAGGCATTGGACAATTAGTGCACCTGCACTGTTTATGTGAAAGTGCTTTAAAAAGCTTAAGACTGGATAACTGAGACTTGGATTATATTGCATGAGTTGTGCGAGAGCCTTTAAAACAGACGTTTTGATACTGTTTTGCCGTTGTTGATCGCAAGCCTCCATTTTACGCAGCCTTGATTCAGTATACCCTGCATCTCTATGTTTTATTACAAATGCAAAGTACCGCACTCGTCACTGCATTCGTGATTTGGTTGGTTGGATGTCATTGACCATTCGCAGATGACAGCATTGGTATATTTTTATCTATAAAGCAATTTTGGGTAAACTTCCAGCCTATCTCTGCAACCCTCTGTGTGTTAGCTCTGGTAGTTGCCAGCTACGCTCCTCCAAGTTGGTTGTTTTTCAATGCACCTTGGACATGGATCAATCTCCAAAAGGATCTAAAAACGCTCATATCCATCAGTGAATTTAAGGGCATCATAAAGGATGTGGTGACAGAGACATGAGCTTGTTTTTCTTGAGAGGCCACTATGTTTGAAAAGTTGTTGTTTTATTGTGGATTTTGTATAATATGTTGTATTTGTTGCATTTTAAATGTGTTTTGATTGGCTGCTACCTTGGTCGGGTCTCTCTTGTAAAAGTGATTTTCAATCTCAACTGGACTTCCTGGTTAAATAAAGATTAAATAAAAATAATAATAAAGCCTCTATGACTTCCATTCATCAAGAATTCTCTCTCTCGCAAGAAATGGAGGCATGGGAGAGTAACCGCTAGACAAACGGTCATTTGAGGAGGTGGAGTATTCCTGAAGCTATTCTGCAGTATAATGTTTATCTCTGTGGATTTCAAAAGCCGTTGAGTTGTCAATTTCACAAGTGTACATTCAGATATTTTAACGTTATCAGATTTAAACCAAGAAGACATGTAAAGAAATATTACTCGGTCCTGTGTTGGCATATTGTCACAGCACCTCCAATAGAAAAATGCCCCTTTTCAAACATGACATCATCGTGAAAGAGTTGCAGAACATTTAAGGAGCGAGATACATGTCTGAATGTGTTCCTGTATATTCCCGACGACAACAGAACAAGCAAAGCTGGCTGCTGATAATTGGCACTGAGTGTAGATGGATCAGTCCTGGCTTCAACACACCATCCTGAATCATCGTATTGCTGTTCAGAAACCTAAATCCCACTGCCTAAGATCAGTGTGTTTTTGCATCACAAAGACAGCAGTTGGGAAAGCAACGGACTTGACATGAACGGGCATGTTTCTCCGTCAGGCTAATCCAAACTGTCTAGGTCTATGATTACTAAATAAAATGTCCAACTCTAGTTCAGTCATAGCCAGTGTGAAGATATCAATGACGCAACACAAGGGAGATTAAAAGAAAAGACTGTTCTCCACGCTTTACACTTCAGAAAGCAAGCTGTCCCTCGAGCTATGCTCTCAATCTGGTTCAAAACACTCACATTAATGTTTTCTGAGCCAAAAGCTGCTCCCTGGGAATGTTTTCCTTGAAAATATACTCTGTAGGAGGCTCAGGACAAGAAAGTTCCAAAATTGTTTGAGAAATCTTCTAGCCCCCTCTGCTGGATTTTAACAGCTGTTTCACGGCACCCACAGTGTGACATAACCCCCCACCAGCACCCCTCCTCCATCATCAGTTTGATCAGGTATTTTGCCTCAATATCTATTTCTTATGGGGCCAAGTAGTAACAGTATACAAACATCCCTCATCCTCACTGTTCTAGAGGTGGATTCAGGATATTCAATGTTACAAGGAAATCACACTGACTCATAACCAACACCCAAACATACCAGGGGCATTTTTCAGTGGAAAGTGGAAGACGTGCCTTCTCGGTACGTTAAAAAAGGGCATTGCAAAACTGCATTTTCAGTTATACGGTTGATGGTTTCATCATCAAAGTGTGGAAATCTCAAAATGCCATTTCCTCCTATCTACAGAAGACAGAAAATGAGTACGCTGTCTAAGATGGAGTTAGAAAAGGCTTTCATCTCTTCCGTTTAGGTATTCTTACTGAAGCCGGGGTAGAGGGCTGTCAGTAGATTTCCATCTGAGAGACTGGTTTTCAGTAGCAAAGAAAGAGCAACTAACACTGGCTGTACAAGACAATCTGATTAAGCTCACCCCACCACATCCGGTGCTCTGGAGGAGTGAATGAAAAACGAATGCAATATCAGAGACAGATACGTTTTGAGGAATCAACACACAGCTCGACTAACGGTTCACCAGAGAGACTGCAGAATGAAACCAAAAAAAAAAAACAGACTGAAACAGACGCACGGTTAACTGGCAGTCAGCACAGAGAGGCAAAACAGAGACAGGTGTCGAACACGTTTTCTCAGTAACATGTAGGTTTCAAAAAAAGGACGATGACAGATGGATGATCAGGTGATGAATCAATGTTACAGACAGTCAGACTGGAGGGTGTCACTTACGAGGCTTCTGGCCCCATACGTGTAGATGTAGCTTCCCAGAGGAGTAGTAAATAAAGCCCAGGACCAGCATGGGGCACAGGACGAACAGCAGCTTGTGTGTGGGCTTCATGGTCTTCAGTCATTCACATGACACCATCCAGGTCATCACCTGCAATGACAAGAGGGTACAGGGACATGGCATTTATACATCCCGAAAGAGAAGCTCGTCCGTCGGCTGCAAGGAAACAATTGACAAATCCCTCTTGCCATGAGAGCAAAGAGGAACACACACACACACACACACACACACACACACACACACACACACACACACACACACACACACAGGGAGGGAGTGTGGATAGAGGGAAAAGGTGGAGTCAGAATTGAAGGCTGGTTGGAGGTAAGAGGCTGGAGGTTAAGAGAGGCGTGTAAATAGAAGAAAATACAATGTATGTAAATGGGATGGATGGTAGTTTTGCAAAGATTGTTTCTGGTCAGACTCCACCAAAAAAACAATTTGAATTCTCTTCTCTTGGGTATATACACCATCCTCTCTCTTCGAGGACTATTTAATAATGTCTGGAGGAAGGCAATAAAAAACACAAGTAAGAATAAGAAATGTGTTTTTGTTCCTTAATTTTGACAGACTAAAGAAGAAGCACAAAGTCGTTTTTTTGTGGTCATGACCGTGCACAATGATGACAGCTACATACGAGCATGTATCAGTTCTCCAAGCGTTCACTGACAACACTGTCTCAAAAACTGCAATGTACTTAGTAAACAGGAAACCACGCCCTCACTGCTGCAGAAAGCATGTCAGTTATAAGATAAGGGGATGAATGTCCGCCTGTCATTGCTGTTAGTTCATTTGGTGACACAAAACAGTGACACAAAATTACTGCCCCATTCAGTCAGTTTCATCTCTCAGCTAACCTGTGTCAGACACACAAGATCTGGATACAGACTGTCCGGATTATACATAATGAACCAGCAAATCATGTCGCACTACACACTGTGAATCATGTCCAGTCTACATGTCGCCTGACAGCAGACAAGACAACCCATTAGTCATCTGTGCGTATGTGTGGCCTGGCCTCTGTTTTGAACAAACTCTGCTAATTAGCTCGAATAGCCTGCCATCTTGTGAACTGTAACCCAGCACCCTGCATGTACTCACAACCCCAGATATGGTTTTATCTTTGCATAATCTACAGCTTTCATTAAAAACAGTGCTGTGCAGTTTCTCAGATGTGACATGTTAAATAAATAAATATGTATCAAATTCAATCTGGGGCATCTTTGTGTGATCCTGAGAAACTGCTAGAGGCAAGTGCAAATGAGCAAGTATAAAGCATTAGCGCAGGGAGGTGTCTGAGCAGAGTTGAGCTCAGATAAGACCGCAATATCACTGCAAAACCATGTATTTCAAAACAGCAGCTCATAATCCACATGAGGCAACAGATGCCATTCACCAGGTTATAAAAGCAATGTCTTAATGCTCTATTGATCCCCTCATATAAAATGCAACCTGATGACACCACATGGCATATCCTACATAGAATACAACTTATCCACCAGTAATTCCGTAGATTAACTAAATAAAGTGTTAAAAATGGAAAAGTTTGTGGACAGGCTGCCAGGCAGTCGGATAGATCGCTCTTCCTGACAAGGAATTTAACTGAAAAAAACAGACACCTGTTGAATAAATTTAACAGCAGTTCGGGTGAAGTCAGGTAATATGAGACATCAGGTAAAATGGGGCAAATAAGGTTTTACATCTTAGGCTTTTTAAATATTAGCAGCCAAATACAAATGTGCTTTACATGACACAAACATTTTGACTGGTCTGATAAAACTAGGATGGATTGAGCATAGATTAAAAGAACTTGTGAGATAAGACATGTGGCATGTTTATCTTTTTTTAATTAGCAGCAGGAGTAGTGCAGCTAAAACCAATATGGAGGATGCTGCTTAACTGTTTGACTTAAAAGTAAAATATTTTCACAATAAATGTATCCTTTAATGGGAAAGCATTTTGAGTGAGTACCTTAAACATTCAAGGAAAATGGAACAAAAAAATAACCTAAAATGAAGTGAAACCAGCATCTTTTCAGGTTACCTGGTGCCATAAAATGATGAATTACGCTATCATGTGCCACCCTAAATATTTAAGACATTATTTTTGTCGATTAAAAATGATTAAAGGTGATGCAGTGAGTCCATGTCAGCTACAATAGTCCCGAACTAACCCTCACTGTTACACACATGCAAACATACACATGCATTTCCACTGCAGACAGACAATATGGCACCAAGTGAAGAGGCAGCAAAATAACAGAGGAAGCATGGCAGAAAAGTTGGGGGATCTTTTAAATGACAAGTTGGTTACATTAATGATTTAATGAATTAATGGCTAAGCTGATAACGGGTTTAACCATTTGAAAAACAAAAATGACTGTCAGATTTTACCTCACCAGCTGCCCCATGTTACCTGAACATGTCAGTGGAGTGAAGTCAGGGTTATGATGCGTTTAAAGGTCCAAATGTCTAAAATATTTTACATGGCAATGTGTTTTCTTTACAGAAATATAGCAAAGATGCAAAATAAGTTCCTAAAAGCAACACTCAAGGCAGTCTTTAGGTTTTGAGGTGTCACACATTACCTGAGTCCATCCTACTGCACAGTGCAGCCAGGGTTGGAAATTAACTTTTTTGTCCACCTGCCACTGATTAACAACACATTACCACTGTTTTTTAGGGGGCTGCTGAGTGAAGCAGCCACTTTCATATTTTACCAGCCAACATGTACACAAGCATGCAGCCAACACCACTGCAACTCTTGGGAGCACTGTCACAACAATGGGGTAATTTCCGCCCAAAGATATTGCATTACTTGAATAACTTCTTGCGACAGAACACTGTCCAGCACCACACGACTAAATTTAACCAACAACCCGATATAATCGTGACAGGAAGAGAGCAAAGAGGGTAATATAAGAGTTGAGAAAGAGCTCAGTCACGTCCCATAGTATAGTGTTTTAACTCACCACATCAGTGTCAACGAGTTTTAGTGGCAGCAGTGACTGTCCCCTCATGTTACACACATTTCTATGTACATCAGAGTTGGGTCTTGACTTCAGCTTGTGACTAGTCGTGTGGTTCACCGAGTTAACGTTAGGTAACGTTCAGTTTGCGGCACACCAAGTTGAGCAGTTAGCAAGAAGACAAACATAACGGAACTTTGAGGTCCCATAATTCAGCGCTATAACGTTACCTCAGCCTCTCCTGATACAATGGCTACTGGAGACTACCTGAGGGTTTATCTTACTTTAACAGGCTCGGTTTACTCCGAGGTGTTACACGACACTGTGAACATAACGGTCACCAGATATTAACAAGCACGCGAAGTAACGACGGCACAAAAGACGACAGCGAATATCAAGCGGCTAACCGTTAACGTTAGCTTAGCCTGTCGCTATGCTAACAACGCTACGTTGGCATAGTGGGAAATTTGCCTTGATCCGGTCGGCAGGCCCGCAGCGTAACAACACCGCTGGTTGGGGGAATTTTTGTGGCCAGACATGAGCTTAGTTACAAGCGCAATATGTGGCCGAAACACACGTAGCATAAATACATGTACGCAATGATACATGTGCCAAAGTGTGACAATGCTGAGGTAACCCGACGGAGGTTAAGAGAATCAAGGACCCCCGGTTTGCCAAAATTAACCACCACCATCATTGTCGACTAAAACGCGGCGCTGCAACGTCTCATTGTCATTTCCAATTGATTGAGATAATTAAAGACATTACCTTTTCTTTTCTTCTGAGTCCTCGGGTCAGAAACGATACAAGCCTTAGTTTAAATTGAAGATTGGTCGATAAAACGACCGTGTTCTCCCTCCTCTCCAAGCCATCGTGATGAAATCCGTGAGAGTGCCCTGGCTCTGTGAAGCACAAGACGACCAGTCTGACTGCGCGTTTCTCCCTCTGTCTCAGCAGCTCTAGTTTACATCAAGAGGAACAAGCTGCACCTCCATCAACACTACCACCATAGCAGCAACACAGTTTGTCGGCTACAGTCACATGAGGAGGTATCTCCGTGAATTATGATGCCCCCTCCTGATTTAACAGAAAATGAATGCACCTTTTCAGATGGTTCTTCACGTGGTGCCCCCTCTCTGTATGTCAGCTGTTAAACATTGCATTGTGGCTGGGTTTGCATTTATAGCACACACGTCGGGCACCCCACCACCACCACCACCACCACCACCACCCGACTGCAACAGTACTTGCTCAGCAGCAATAATAGAGATGCAATAATGTAAAGAGCCGGTTGAACTGTATGCCCCTCACTATACTGGTATGTGACTGATCAGCACTACTGTGTGATTGCCCATACAGGTTAGAGACATGCTGCTGCTATCCCACAGTCAGGGTTGGATTTGCTGAAATCCAAACAGATTATTAGTGGTGTAAAAGTATACATCAATACAAGGGCGTAGGTTATGTCTCAACTCAGGGGGGCTCTTATGTAATGGCATCAAAATTTTAACCATCAAACACTTAATTTCTTGCATCCGGGTGGATTTTTAGGCCCTGATCACACAGAAAGTGTTTTAGCTTTTTGTAATTGTTTTAAATGAGAATGAAGCTATTTGTTTGCGGTTTTTGCGTTGCCTAGAGCACCTTTCTGCACTCTAGGCACCTGGCGTTTTTGCCACGGTGATAAAAAAAAACTTAAACACAGAAAGCATTTGCAGGTTGCAAGATGCAAGGTGCGCCGCACTGCCTTTTTTAAATTGAATGCCACTGGTGAAAAAAAATGCTTGCTGCGCCTTTTTATTGTTGCCAGGCCGCCACGGACTCACCTCCTTAGCCTAACCTTCCCATATAATCGATCTACTGTTTATTTATCTGTTTTATTTATTTGACAGTTATTAGTATCTAGCTCCTAAAACGATCAGGCAGAGGGTACTTGCTGTAGCTCTGGTTGAGGGTGAGAGGCTGTCAGTAAATAGTTTGTTAGGCACAGGGAAACAGAGTGGATCATGGGGAGTACCACCAGTTGGTCCAGGAGCTTCGCCTCCATGATGGCCGTTTCCAGGCGTATTTTAGGATGACTCAGGGGCAGTTTGACAACCTGCTGTCTATCGTCTGGCCATATAGCTCTGAGTATCCAGCAACCGCTACCACCAGTTTTTCCATTGTTTACCAACTGTAAACTTCTTGTGACCACCATAGATGGCCCGCCTCTCAAATCATCCGATTAGACAATGGGAAAAAAGATGACAATAAAAGAGATGACGTGGGGTGTTTTTCTGCTCTGAGTTGACATTTTTTCACCTCAAGAGTTCGCTTAGAGCACAGAAACACCAGGCACGTCACAATGCAAAAACCACAAGCATTCTCATTAAAAACAATTACAAAAAGGCACCTCCAGCTGCTAAAATGCTCTCTGTGTAATCAGGGCCTTGAGCGGAAATGCTCATGATCTCAGCTTTTTGCCCATTGTCCAATGGGATTATTTGAGAGGCGGGCCTTCTGTGGTGGTCACGACAACAACTTTACAGTTGCTAAACAATGGAGAAGAAACTGGTGGTAGCAGTTGCTTGATACGCAGAACTATACGGCCCCTGAGTCATCCTAAAATATGCCTGGAAATAGCCATCATTGAGGCAAAGCTCCTGGACCAGCTGGTGGTACTCCCTGCGATCCACTCACTTTTTTAGGGTCTCATGTACCCACATAGATCTTCGTTTCCCTGTGCCCAACAAACTATCAACTGACAGTCTCTCACCCTCAAACAGAGCTGCAGCAAGTACCCTCTGCCTCAACATTTTCGTAACTAGATACTTTTTTTATTTTTTTATTTTACTAGCGACATTCAATTTAAAAAGAAAAGGCAGTGCAGTGCGCCTCATGATTTGCAACCTGCAAAACACTATCTGTGTGATTGGGGGCCTTATGTACCAAGTTGTGCGTTTTCTCCATCAACTTATGACATAGCTGTCTTAAATTTTGTCAAAATAAAAGTCCTCTACTATGAATCAATATCCAACAATCTTAAATACCAGTAGTAGTGGCAGTCAGTATATAGTCTAAACATAGAAAACACCACCAACCAGTGACTGTATTTGCTTTGCACTCGTTTACAGTGATTTCTCTGAAATGTTTAGCTATAATTACCCCTCAGGGAACTACAAATAGTAATTACCTACACAAGCTTGAGCCCCTTTAGCTCCGTGATTCATTCTGATACCTTCCAGGATGAGAATGTTCCTGTCCACAAGCCATAAGCTGTACATAAATGACTTGTATCCAAGGAGGCAGTTTCTACGGTTACGGTCATCATGATGTCCACAGGTGGTCAAACAAAACTACTGCTGACTGCAGCGCCAGAAAGAAAAGCTTAAAACTTATACTGGAATTTATGAAAAAAAAAAAAAAAGATATACAGAGGTGATGAAGAGCCAAAGGTGGTCACTTGTTAATAGTTTCTATGTTAAAGGGACAGCCACCCCAAAATCCAAAACATATATTTGTCCTCGTGCTATTTATCAGTCAGTCATTGAGTTGCGGAGTGTTGGAGATATCGGCTGTAGAGATGTCTGCCTTCTCTCCAGTATAATGGAACTAGATGGCACTTGGCTTGTGGTGCTCAAAGTGCCAAGATAATACATTTAAAAAATTCAACGGCAATGTCCCTACCAAAAATCATGACACAGTTAGTAAAGATAATCCACAGACCTCGTTGTGAGCAGTTGCGTGTAGGAACTATTTTCTTCCTACTGAACTACACTCGCCGAATTGTCCACAGAGGTCTCTTCCTCTCCAAAACAAACAGATCTGGTGATTTAACCCAGTTAAAACGCCAAATATAGCAGGGTTACAGTAGAAACACGGCGGTGAAACATGGCAGTCTCTGTGGACGAGGACTTGCTCCCTTTGTAGAATTAATTGGCTCAGTCTAAGGTCACAAAAACACAGTGATTCTTATTTTCAGGTGATTATACACTAAAGAGAACATACCTATTATAATATATTCGATTTCTGCCAATGTAGCCCCCTAACTCCTACACACTGGACCTTTAATTGTCGTTGGGTTATTTTGTCTCTATTAATGAGACCTGCACTTTTAAAAGGTTTTGTTGTATCAGCCAGACCAAGTCATACCACAGTCTGCCATCACTAATATTATTTCAGAGGAGAATAAGGAGACATTCTGGTAGTCGTCTGCAGTTCAACACTGTAGATGAAATATGAGTTGTCAGCTCATGTTCCTGTGCACACATGTACAGTCAAGCTCATGTTCGTTGATTCAGTTATTTAAAGCAGTCGTCACTGCGAGCTGTCAATCTGGCTGTGAAGCACTAAAATGGTCACACACTGATAAATGTGAACAGACGGTGTGTTTGTCAAGCCTTTCAGAATAGGAGTGCCGGTTTAAATATGTGAATAAGTTATTCCCCGCCTCTGCTAAAACACTTGATAAACATGGGTCCTGCAGACCTTGCATGTCATCCTCAATCCCAGTTGGGACCTATCATGTGGCTGCTTACAGCAGATTGTTGTTTGGCAGCAGATCCATAGTCCTGTCCTTCACACCTGCTCGGGTTACTCTGCTAATTCAGTTTTCCTCTCGGATCTTGCGTCTTATTTGTGCCCTGACATTCACAAGGCCTCGTATCCTACATAAGCAGTTGTTGGGCTAAAAGCCAAGGTGAGAGAGGGTGGGGGTTGGTGGGGGTGCAGTCTTCCATTTTTGCCCTGCATAGAGTGTGGTAGTAGCATACCAATCTATTAATATTGAATCAAGCAGGAAATACAATCTGCTCGCCCACTGTTCTCCATCTGGGGTCAGGAGATTAGCAGGAGCCAGGAGAATAAAATACATACACAAGCACATGCTGAGATATATACACATCCACATGAGCCTATTGAAGTGTCACAGGATTTTTTTTTTTTTTTTTTTCAAAGCTGGCGTGGGACTCCTGGTTGAGCTGGCAGCACTTCATGGCCTTTGGCACATGGATCATTCGTTTACATCACACTTACAAGAGGAAATGACCGGTGGCCACAGAAAACAATGCAAGGAGCTGAAATTTTCCATTCTCTAACCGTGTCTGGGAAGCGCACTGGTTTGTGTTTGTCTACCTGTAAAGAGTTGTGTTCCTGAAGGGGGAAGCAATGTTTGTTTTACATGTCCACAGATCGTAATGCATTCGCTTCACTGTACATCCTGAGTGCCAGGGTGAAGCAACATCAGAATTAATTCAATCATTTTGGGCTTGAAACATGACTCAATTATCCACCATCATGCCCCATTCCTCTAATGCTCTGCTATCGAACCGACAAAGCAGTGCAGACTTGAGTGTCAGGTCTGTGGGGTTACCGGAATACAGGCTCCAACAAAAATGAAATCCTTCATCCGGTGTGGGCTGCAGAATCAGTGCCTCTAGCAGCAATACCATCAAGTCTATCACAGGAATCAGCATTTCATCTTCTTCAAGTGTAACCAGACAGTTTCCGTTGTGCACGAGCTCCCACTAATGCCCTCAGGAGCTTAAAGGTACAATGGATCAGTGGCTGATGGAAACAAGTAGAACAATGCTCAGGAAAATGTAGTGCCTTTGTGCTGTTATTAAATCTGGGGTAGGCAGTTTCATATTGTCTTCACTGGGCAAAAATTAAATAACAACCTTTGAGCGTCTTGTAATTCAAGAGGGTCGAAAGAACACTAGATATCCGTATCTCCTCTTGGCTCTGTTTTCAGACTTTGGCCAATCACAGGTCATTTCAGAGAGAGGGTGTTCCCGTTGGCTTTTCTACAAATGCAGATGCATGTTCACGAATCTTTGGTGAAAGCCTGATTCAGTGGCGGAAATCCTGCAGAAAAGGGTTAGTATTCCAGCATTAGCAACAACTGCTTGCACTGCAAAGCAACCCAAAAAGGAAGATGGACTTATAAAGAGAGTCTAAAAGTGAGTCAGACAAAAAATAATAGCTATACAATAATAGCAATGCATTTCAGGGATGGAGAGAAAATGTTCCCGCAGCCTAAGGCTCATGGCGGTGGCCTCAAATTCCCGTTGAAGTAGCTAACGTTAGCTAAAGCCTCAAGGCACAGCATGTTCTTCACCTCACTCCCCCCAACAACAAACCACCTCGCTGGGAG